TAACTGAGGAGAAGCTGGAGCCTGTGCCGCTCCTCTTCTCCCTGCCAAGGCACGGCTGTGTTGGCCGCCTGGTTGTCAATGGTGCCGCAGAGCCGTAGCCAGCTTCTTTTGCACCCGAGGCAAGAACAGAAAATGGTGCCCCCCCCAACAGACTGGCCTCACTCGCCCCGTGGTAGCTACAGCCCTGATTTACCTAAATATTTTGACGATCGAAATTTCGAGGGGAAATCAAAAAAGCACCTCTGGGCTGCCCGTAATGTAACGCAGGGACTATGGGACATTGCCATGGGTGACAACACTACTATATCACTAGGAACCTGTGTATGGAGTTGTCACCCTATTACGGGACGCTCTAGGAGCGAGCTGAAATTGAGCTTGTAAAAAGAGCAGTTTTCCTGGGTTTGCAGACACTTTAAGCCTGCGCTTATCAGTAGTCTAGAGGCATCTCCGTGTCCCATAGCACCGCATATCTGTCCAGATCCACACAGGTACAGGAAGAATGTTGGGTTATCTTCAAAGTGGCCTTATAACCTTACACGCCCCATGCGGCCCCATCCACATCACTCGCTTTAATCTGATCCGGTGCTAAACAAAACCATCTAATCTTCCAGAGGTCGTAGGTCAGCAAATCTTTCTAAACACCATAAAATATAGCCGGCAGCCCGCCCCCGCTGAAGAACAGGACCGGGTCTGAGTTGAAGGTCTGCACAGGTCATCACTTCCATCACCAATCCAAACAACAAGGACGGTGTTCCAGGGCTGAGCAAACCCCAGGAGCCGGGTCGCCAATGCTCTTTATAAATCACAGTCGGACCCGAACGTTTGAGGTTCTCGGGTTGCTGTTAATGGAGCTGGCTCTTGGAGAAAAAAAATCCTGCTGGCCCCTGGATTGGACAGAGTGGCCCCTGGGTTGTTATGCCCAGGGCTGGTGCTAGTCTATTTTGCGCCCTAGGCAAGACCAGCTTCAGTTCCGCTTCTCTGCTCAGTGGGCGGGTGCAATAGCCAGCCTGCTATTGGCTTTTGCAATTTGAAATAGACGAGGGGCGCCGTGTGGGGGGGAGTGGTCGAGGCTGCGCCCTAGGCGGCTGCCCAGTTTGCCCCGTGGCAGCACCGGCCCTGGTTATGCTTCATATTCGGAGAGCAGACAGGGCCATGCAAGTCATTGCAGCCAACGTGCAGACACAACTGCTACCACGCAGCTTAGATGCAGCTATAGAATGACGCACGTACCGCCGCACACATCTCCTGGTGCACCAGTTCCGTACTGCGTTGGGTGCCTGGTCCCCCGATCCAAGATGTGGCTCTATCTGCGGGCCCCTAGGTCCATACAGGATATAACAGTAACATAGGGGGACGGCCAATGGAGCCAAGGCATTCAGTGGGGGGACAGGGCATCCAATGTGCAGATCCTTCGGGCACTGCAGCCCCTCAAGAGAGCAAAGTTGGGAGAGACCACCTACCGGAGAGGTAAGTATCATTGTGGTGGTAAAGTCTCTTCAAGGTGCAAACTACAAGAATGCAACAGTGTGAATCGGACTTGATATCAGCCCCTCGCAGTCTCCGCACAGCGGAGCTCAGACTGGGGAAAGGTTAGGGTTGTCACCTGTCCAGGAGTCACCCGGGTTTCATGGCAGCAGAAACCCGGACACGAGGTGTCAGGCAGACGGGGGCAACCAAAATTAAGACCGGGCTACTGGCCCCCCCACTGAAAATAGTCTTAAAGTAGTATTAAGGTCTGGGGGCATTCTCTGCATTCGGGTACAAACAGCCCAGCACCTTTTTTCTACAACAGCCTCCCCCCCC